CCCGTGCTGGAACCCCTACCCTGCCTCCGGGACTTCCTCTACCACACGCTCATCCCGCATCTGCCTTGTTTCAAAGTCCGCTCAATCCATCCAGTCCGGTCTCGTCGCCATCTGTGCCGCCAGGTCTTAATCCGCCTTTCCATAGGCTAGGCACGCCGGGCCAAGGACTACAGGAAGGCTCTCGCCAGGCCTCTCCGGACTTGAAGGACACTCCTGACAATGCCCCTACCTCAAGTCGCGTCAAGAATGCGTCCGAAATATCACTCGGTTCTCCTGTGCCAAAGTCAGCCAACAAGGCTCGCGCTCAGCAGAAAGGAGATTTGACGGTCGCTGCTGATAGGAAAGCTGGCCCTTCGAAGGCTGGAGACAACAATGAGAAAACCTCGGCGCCTACGGGCAAAGTCAAGCCCATAAAGCTGGAGCTTCCCTTGGGTACTTCTCAGTCTCATGATGCTCCAAAGCCCGATACACCAAGCCAATCCCATGCTCATGGCCCGGTGCCCACTTCGACGATTGGTTCCCGTCCGAATACACCTTTGACTGGGGTCTCCCGTGTTTCCGACTCGTCCGCTCCCCGCCAACCTCGAGTTCTCCGTGTGGTTGACACGCCGAAGACTGAAACTCCGCCGCCCCCATCTGCCACCCAGTCTGTCGCGTCCATACCTGCAGCAACAAAAGCGCGTTCCAGACGGCCAAGTATCTCGTCGCTCAGCAGGCCCGATACGCCCGGCGACCTGGGTTCGGAAGCCGATCTTTACACTTCAGCGTCCGTGTCCCGTGCTAACTCTCCTCCCGCTTCGTCCAGAATTGGCTCTGCACCTGTCCGGGCGATGACCAAGAGCCAGGCTAAGAAGGAACGGCGACAGAAGGCCAAGGAACTGGAAGCCAAGAAACAAGAGGCCACTGCTGTGGTTGAGGAACCAGTGCAGGCCCCGATCATCGGTCGAAAGCGCAAGACTAAGAAGACTCCTGTTAGCTCGAACGACTCGCCAGCTGCAGCTCCGGATAATACTGAGACTGGGAAGTCTGCCAACTCCGCAGGCTCCGATAGCAATGAGAAGGCTGGCCAGCGGACAGAAGCGGCCAAGAAGAACAAATCGAATGAGAAGGCTACGAAGGACTCCAAGGCAACTGTTACCGAGGAAAAGGCCACTGTTGAACAGAAGGCACCTGCTGAAGCATGGCGTTCTAAGAACACAGTTGAGCAGCTGATGAAGGACGCCGAATCCAGCGGGGTCCCAGTCAAGGAGCTCTTCGCGGAACGCACGTCTCCGTTGCAGGTGCTTCTTGCTCAGCTTCACAAGTCTGCTGAATTGGATCTGAACAATCATCCCCTTTTCAACCCAGCCAACCTAAACCAGCGCTTCGACATGAAGTGCAATGCGGATGATTACGACATTCTCAAGCAGCCCATCGAGTTGACCGACGAGCATCGCAAAGCATTGATGCGCGGAGAAGCCATCCGTGTTAACTCGGACTCGAACATGCTGAAAGACCGATGCTTGATCAGTCCACGTGGGTGCGTCCTACACCATCTGTCGCCAGAGGAAGAAGAGCGGTACCTCGCGCTTGAGAAGAACATTGCCTGGGCAATTGATACCTTCCAGGAGTACTCGAACGTGCCAATCACGGAACCAGATGTGACCAACCGCGCTGGTGGCTTGGACGCACTGTTTGCTACCCCTGAGAACTTCAACATCTGCTGGGTCGACGAGACCTCGGCTGGCCTCACCTCTGGCTCTCCTACTGCCGGGATGTCCCTCTCTGACGCGAGTGGCTCCACTATTCCCGCGCCTCCCAACGTTCTGTCGGCCATGGAGGCGGACAGCACTCGCAGCCATAACTGGGCCATTGCCAACACCGCCGAGCTGGTCAATGCCACTGCCACCTCTGTGCGATCCTTCGCTGCCGCTACTGCCAAGCACATGCTCGGTGCCGCGGGGGTGGTCATGGGCAACATCCCAGACTTGGACGATGTGGTTGGAATGACCAATGAGGAGCTGCGTTCGTTTGCCGTCAAGTCGCAGAAGGATCTCGAATCGTCTCGCAAGGAGCTAGACACGATCGACAAGAAGCTCAACGCCCTAGTGAAGCGGAACCGCAAGCTTGCACAGCAGGCTCTTGCGACTACCGTTGACGCGTGAACCCCCGTTCTGTCCCTATGACAACTGTATTTTAGTAGATCTCATTTTCAGCATGTTTCCTGCTTTCTTCTTATGCTGGCTTACTACTACCCCTGTATTCTGAACCTGGCTTCTGTTCCTGCTGTATGATGCTTTTCTTCGTTATTAGACTTTACAGGGGAATACTCACGAATCAATGATAATACATTAGACTATACATATCTACAATATTATGTACTAGTAGTCCTCTCTAAGCACCCTCGTTAGGCCGGAAGACCACCTTCTCTCCGGAAACACCCTCCTTATTCGTCTTCAACGCCTCCTCAACAGCCTCCAACCCACCCGGCACCACCCGCACACGATTCGGCACAAACAAGCCCTTCGCAATCCACCCATCCTCACCCCCGAGCGCCTTGACCATAGGCTCACTAATATGCCTCAGCTTAGGCGAAGCCCCAATACCCAAAATCGGCCGAATCTCCACCTGATGCTCCCCCTCCTTACCCAACTCCTCCGCCTCCTTCTCCGCACCCAACACCGTAACCACCGCCTTCGCATTCCCCTTACTCTTCTTCGCAATCTCCACACCCAACACCTGCGTCTCCTTCATCGAAATCGCATCATACACATAACAAATGGGCTCCTCCCCAGCAGCATCCACAAAGTCCTGCGCCTTAGCCACCTTCCGATCCAGCACGACATGCGCCCCCAACCCCTCCAAATGCTCCTTATGCACCACACTCGCATTCGTAATAATCTTTGTGAACCCGCTCAACCTCGCAAACTGAATCGCGTACTGTCCCACACTCGACGCTCCGCCCAGAATAGCAATCGCCTTGCCCTTGCCTGCCTCGGATCCGCCCTCAGCCCAAGGCGCAGGCGTAATCCCATGCCCCGTGGTGTCATACATACCCGTCACAACGGCCACACTGGCTAGACTGATTCCCGCGGCTTGCTCGTCGGAGATGTTGGAGGGGGTCTTGGAGACGAGTTCGGCTGGCATCACGCAGTATTGTTGGAAGGTCGACGCGGCGTAGTTGCCGATTATGCCTTGGAAGAAGACCCGGTCGCCGGGTGTGAAGGTCGAGACGTTGGGACCTACGGCCGCGATGGTGCCCGAGGCGTCGGAGCCGAGGATCGCCGGGTATTCGGTTAGGAAGAAGTTGTAGTCGCGCATTTTCCAGTCGACGGGGTTCACGGCCGTGGCGGTGATTTTGATTAGGACTTGGTTGGTCGAGGGGGTTGGGAGGGGTTTGGTGGTTAGGGTCGTGGGTGATTGGGGGGTGGGCACGGTGGCCGCGAGGTAGGTGGAGGGGAGGGACATATTGGTTGTGATTGTGGTGGTGGTGTAGTTCGTTGGTTGCTGTTGTTGTTGATGGTGGTGGTGGAATTGTTGTGGTTGGTGGGATGGGAAATAGAGTGCTGACGGGCGTCAGTGATATGAAGGTCAGATTATAGGTCGTGAGGGGTAGGGTTAGGGGTACTTTATTTACTAGATGATGATGTTATATAAGGATCCAATGTCTGATTTGTAATGAGGTCATGGACATTAGTCATCGACTCCACTGCAAATTGTTGTATCTGGGTGCGCATTGTTATGCAGTGGATGTTATGGATAGAAGTGTAGTGTCATTGAGCTGGTGGCCAAGAGGAGGCTGTAGGGCGCATGAGCATATCTGCATGCCACAAAATGCAAATGTGTCGTGTACATTTTGTAGAACTCAGTGTCATGACTGCTGAATTGCAACAATTTTGAGCCGTAGAGTAACTAACACGTTGGAATGAGCGTTCAATGCATGCAATCATTCTGACAGCCATTCTAGCAATACATTTCTAGTACTTTCCATCATGTACGGATCTCTTGCTAAGTGGTGAGTGACGCCTGTGCCGGGGTGTTCTAGTCTTGCGTCGGGATCTACGGCACGCATCTGCAGTCAAGATAGCGTCTTTCCCCTTCCGTTTTAGACTTCGCATATATATGATGCAGCTCAACATGGTCAATGTAACAGTAGCATAATGTCATCATATTTCTCAGGTTCTTAGTAACTGATACTAATCGAGTTCAATAGGTGAAATTTTATGTTCAATCTGCTTGAGAGTGTGGCTGTAGTAGATTCTGAAGTTAGACGATCCCTCATTGCACGTTGGTCAGTATTACCAGCAGCATTGAAATATATAGTTCTACCGGCATCGCATGATGTCTACTTAGCATTCAGCCGGTACCTTTGCAAAATAGTCTGTAGTCTAACTCTAAAAAGATTGTAATAGTAGGAAAACCTTATTAGCGGTTTCTGTAGAAAAAGGTGTCAATAGGATCGAAATAGTACTTATGATATGGAATACAAATCGATCTTCGACAAGCTTTCTCGGCCGATTCCTCTCTTGCAGGTGTGGCTTGACATGGAAGCTTAGGTAGTAGGTAACAAGCAGAATTTGAGGAAATTTACAGTACAACGTGTCATATGCTTACCGCTTAACCCGATTTGGAATATAGGCCCTAAGTATTCCTTGAGGCTAGCTGCAGTGCGGACATGCCGATTCAGGCTATAGTAGCGAAAAGGAAGTGTTTCTTGGTGTGATAGATAGACGTACAATGTAATATTAAGAAGGTAGGGGATGACAAAGTGAGCACTTGAAAAATAGGTACTACATGTGGAATACTGCGGTTAGGGGGGTTTGTATTTCAAGTGTACAGGTCGCACATTTCGTGTAAATCTAGAGAGAACCCAATTTTACGACCATATTTCGAGAAAATGTAGATACAAGGTAAGCGCGTGAATCTCGTAAGGATTATTAAGGGAATCTGAAGTAATCATTCCTATAACTAATGGTGTATGGGAACGTCCTGTCCTAGTGTATCGCCCTGTTGCAACAAGTTTAACTCCAAGTACTGTCTGACAAGTCCTTGCGAGCCCTATCGCAGTTGGACAGTCCAGCATGAGTATAGCAGAGACCAGCCACTCCCGAAGCCCACAGCGCACCACACTCCCACATAACGATAGCCAGATCCCACATCTCGAGGATCTTCTGATCCTGGGGGTAAGCTACCTGGGCAGCGAGGGTAGCTCCGACATATTCATTCTCGGAGGGTAACGTATCACCTCCCCTGACGTAGGCGAGAACAGGCTTGACGAGAAGGTCAATGACAGCACGAGTCTCCGGCAAGGGGTCAGAGGCGATGAGGGCCTCAAGACGGGCTTCAGCGCTGGCAAGGGCACGCTCACCGCGCTCGACCTTGGTGCCATTTGCTCGGAAGTGCTCCAAGGGAGGTCGCTCGTCAGGGACGATCGGGACGATGCCTGCATCGACAGGGAGATCAGTGCGACCGAGGAGAGTGACAGGGCGGTGGCGGCAGTTGGAGAGCTGCCACCAGTGGGTGAAGAGAAGGCAATTGGCTGCTGGGTTGTAGGGGTCGTTCTCCCGGTACCAGATCATAGCGCCTATTATGCGAGCGTAAACCTCGGCCAAGGGGGCTTCCTCCAGGGATCCTCGTGTCAGCGACGGGATAATGTTGCTGACTTCACCGCATGCTACATCGGCTCCGAGATCGATCCAGTCGTGTGCAACGCAACCCAGACCGGCGATGGCGGCCATGTGCTCGCTACCACCTCCATCGTAGTAGACGTGACAGAACACTGCGTCAGCCAACTTGTACCGGGCGAGACGGGCAAGATCATTCCACACAACCATGGTAGGACGGGAAGGAATTGGATGGGAGTCCTCAATGACGGTCTTCTGGCGCAGACAGGAGTAATTGCAGCCCTTGACGAGGCTGATATCGGTAATGTGCGGGCCGGCATAGGCGGACTTTTCAGCAGCAGCTGCTGCATCGGCAAAAGCAATAGTGAGTTTGTCTGCCATGGCAGCGCTGTGGACACCAATGGAGTAATCCATGACAAAAGATGCGTCCATGGTTGACCACAAACCAGAGATGGAACCGCCGTAGACACCACGGTTGTAACCACTTGTCATGGCAAACACACTGGTGTTGAGGATGGGGCCCTGGCAGTCCTCCCCGGTGAACAGGTTGACTGCGGTTGGATCAGATGCGACAGCTACGCCACTCAGCTTGGGTGCGAGAGGCTTGCGGGCAGAGCACCAACTGGGCATGTCGACTGGACGCACCTCGGCAAACTTGACGCGCTCAGGGGCGCCAGTCGCGATCATTCTGTCGCGGGCCTCCAAAAGAGTCGAGGCGTATCCTGGCGGCGTGCCACGTTAACGGTTGTCGTGAGGGTGTCGGTTTCAGCGTCGTACTGCTGAGAGAACTTGCTTGCTCCGGGCTCGGCAGGGCCAACGCCGTGAGATTTGAGTGACCAGGCGTGAGCTCCCCGAGGGGAGTCCATGTTTACTCCCTCGGCCGCGACCTGGGCTGTACCCCAGGTAGAGGTAAGCCGGACGGTAGCATCAGGGTCAGTAGCTGAGAGCTCGCCCGTGCGGTCAGCCCAGTGGGAGAAGACAGGAAGACAATCAAAAGCAGGCGAGCGACTGAGACCACCGGTGACAACCAGGTCCGGTACCAGGTCAGAAATGGGCTGCTTGGGGTTCCTGACTGGCATACGCTGCTTGATCTCCTCAGACCGTGCGCGGAACTCGTCGATATTGGCCTGGCTCTGGATGGCAGGCTCGCGCAACCGCATGCCCAAGCTAGTGGGCTTAATGGCAACGCTTTGGGTTCCTGGTCTCAAGGGAGAGGTATTGGCAAGGTTGGAGACGAACTCGTTGACATCCCGACAGGACATGCGCTCGAAGAAGAGAGGTTGGTCCTCAGCTCGAGGGTCGACGAGACCACCCTTACGAGCAATGTCGGGGAGGTCATTTGTTCGCGCAATGTATCCCATCTTGGGAAAGGAATGCTTGAGAGATGAAATGGTACCTTGGCAGCAAGGGTAGGGCAAGGAAAGATGGAAAAAGAGATCACAGAAAAAAAGAAGACGGAGATATTGTCCCCTCAAAGATTTTCAAGATAATGACTTTTCTTGAAGCTAGATATCCCTGAGATGTCTGGGTTGATTACTTTCATGGCTACACCGATGGTTGGACTCATTTATAGATCGAAGGAGGCTCGCCAAACACAGGCCACAGCCGATTCAACCGTTCAGCCCATCCTTCCGTCCAGCCAGCCGTTCAGCCCAGACACGGGCCAGCCCGTGAGCCGTGATTCAAGAACCGCTTCAGCCAGCCACCAGTACCCTAAGACAAGCAGGTCAAGCATAAGTGTGAACTTTAATTAATGACAGACTCCATCGGTCGTTCTGGTGGGGTTCCATATACTAAACATTGTGCTATTGACTGGCCACTCTACCTCTACAGATAAAAAAAAAAAAAAAAAAAAAAAGAAATAAATAAATAGATAAACCAAAATAAAAAAAGGAAGATATACAAAATTCCTGTCAACATTATCTCCCTACAAGAAATGTATGGGGCACCGCGTGTAACCCTTCTCGGTGTTTCCGATCGAACAAAATACCTCGGGAACTTCTTCCTCGATTCGGGGAGCTGCATCCAAAAGACTGACAAGTGCATAACTCCATCCGTAATGTGCTGGCATGTTGCAATCCCCACCCGCTTTGACAGACTGAGCATAGCGTTCCAACACTTGAAACCGCAACGCCACTCTACAGTCTTTGCCCCTCTTCTGCAGGCTGTCATGATTTTATCCCTGATCGCCCCCACAGTCCCTAATTCCTAGAACGAAGCCGCCTATAGTGGGTATGAGCAAGTCCTTGTGCTCCGCTCATCAAACCACTAAGAGACTTGGATCTTGATTGGACTTCGTCCATAATCTCGCCTAGTCACGCAGCTATTTTGTTTGTATCGGCCATTTGGCACAGGCTCCTTCCCTTCTCATCGCTCTGCAGGGCAGGTTCCCAATTCCACCCTCCTTGAGTAGATCGGCAGTATTTGCAGTTGTCTCTAAAGTGCCCCCCTTCTACACAGCATGGTCCAGGCCCTTCTGCAAATGAAACCTCTGCTGAGCATCGTAGGAGATTATCTGGCCGTCTAGATAGCCTGTCACAGGTGTCTCGGTCACCCCGCTCAAAACCGAAGCCGAAGAAGATCCACCAGCTGAAAAGAACTACGATTTAGTGTACGCAAGCCTTGCAACGCTTGGACATATGGCATTTCTTACCCCCTCCCCCCTTTCGGACTTTTCTTGGACCTGTCCCCATACAGCCCACCCTTGAAAACGTTGAGGCATATAATCGTGCCAAAACCTCAGCTGATATGCAATCCCCACCATATATAGTGAATACTCCTCATGTAGCCAAGTGGACGGGTTTGTAACCGCCCTAACCGCAGACTAAGTACGCCCGGTCTCTGTGTCCGGGCGAGATACAAATCAGTCTAGCTCACAACTTTGGTGGTCTTTACGATACACTCATCCTACTTGCAATCATGTTTTCAGCATACGTATGCTCCTCGGCGTTCTGCTTTCTGGCGCCTACACCAATCCTTTGCTTAACCGGTCTTTTGATCATAATTCTGATGCCGCTCTTTCTTCGTTTTGTTCTCAGATTGGAAAAAGTCGAAAACATTCCCAACGATGCCATAATGAGCAGGCGACGTATTCGCTACGGACACGCCAATCACACTAGCTGGGCTTCATGAGGGGTTTAGGTGGCTACTCAAGTTTCTTAACTGGTACGTAATTTGCTTCCCTTAGTTGTATCATCCGTGTACTACATACAGCCCGGCAAGTTGAGTCGACTAATCAAGCTCTAGAACTCAACGAACCACACAGGCATACAACCTCACGCACCTCTCTTTTGTCCAAATCATAGGAACTTTTCTCAAGAGTCACGAACTTTTATGCATCACGATTAAAGGCAGCTATTGTATTAGCTCTTGTTTTCTTTGTTATACCGTTGTTCAAGTCAAGTCGAAGGACAATCTTAGCATATTTATTCTTAGCTCTTCCTCGTGTACACTGCCGCATTGTACACCCTCCTTATCAAATACCTATAGTATCAGCTCGTACTTCTCCACCGTAAAAGTCTACTTCGTTTCATTAACATAAGCAAAATTGTATCATACGTAAATTAAATATAGGGCATTATTTCACCGGAGTCCCTTCGAATTCGTTCATTCCGGCTGGAGGCCTTAACCATGACATGACTCAGATCCACGAATCAGCTTGCAAGGGATGCTACATCCGACAGATAGATCTGCACCACTAGACCACTGGACTGTCAGCCTTTTGAAAACTAACAATCGCGCCTGTTACACATCTTAATGTAGGGAGCACATTTAGTATAATGCCATCGCTCGCAGTCTGCTGTCAATTCAAGGTTATGCCCGATTGACCCTTCATGTAGCCGCAAGTGTTGTTGGGATTGTGGAACTGTCCTCCGGCTGAACTTTTCTTGTGTGACGGCAATGTATGCATGTGTGATGAGTGATGCGTGACAGTGCTGCATAATGCATGTGCGTCCCAAAACGGTCATTCGTCGGATTGATGTTGATCAGACTGCGCCACAATACCCACACACCTCCGCGGAAATTGTCATCCCTTGCGCGTTGGAAGTTGGGCAGTGTGCGTGGAAATTATATGAAGATGATCTAATCAATCACTATGAAAAGGACACTCCAGATCATGAACTGTAGCTTAGACAGAACTGACTTTTCCCATGCTTCGGTGTGTCCGAAAAGGATGTTGTCATCTTACTGCAGATAAACTCTATGTAGATTTCTAATTCAAAAATATGCCCTAAAGAATGACATGCATATTGACTCAGGCAATGTTTGACAAGAGCCTGACGCCTTATTTGAGTTCGCGAAATACCAAATAAAGAAGAGGCCCAATTTTTGAATACTAAGGAAATTCATTTACAAACAAGAAAGGTGTTTCCCTCCTATAGTTCAAAATGTATGGTATTATCCTCACTCGCCTCACCGGCTCTGAAGTACCGCTCTCCGGTGTAGCTAGCGGTAATCAGTAGGATGCAAGATTTATCAGCAAAGATAGATGAATTACCTCCAATGAGTGAGCCCCATGACAATGTTTCTGCATCCTTCAATAAAAATATCCGCGACAGCGCGGTGTCTTCCCTTAGCAGTCTGCCGCATATCATCAGCCACTTCATAGAAGCCCCTTGCTGATTCCTGAGCCAGCATGAAGGCCATTTTCATTGCCTGGCTGGCTGTCAGGTTTTCGTTCAGCATGAGTACTGGAACGAGGTTCTCGACCTGTCCATCTTTCTGTTACACAATATTAGCTGTTTATAACACCACGTGTTGACAGGTACCCTCGTGTACCGCTTCCTTTCTCATTGAAAACATATCATTTTGACTGTTGAAACTTAGCAAAGGACTTGTGTGATATTTGCCTGAACTCACGTGTGGACAAGGTACGAAGTATGTTTTCGGAGTAATCTCATGTTCGTGTCGTCTAGATCTCGCTCCGAGATATCAAAGCCATAGATAAAACCACGCAAATGTCAGCCCCTACTCGACGCGATATTTAGGTAGACCCACGGAATAGTAGCAATGACAGGATGAACACCAGCCGTGCAATCTCGTCGACACCAGTACTGTTGTAACGAGGGGATTTTATTATCCGAATAGATCGAATCCACGTAATCAACACTCGACACATAGTCTATCATCGCTGCTAACAGAACTTTGCGCGTCACTGATTTAGTGACAGTCAGTATACGACGAAACGAATTGGGGAGGGGATCAAGACGTTCTTTTTGAGCAGACTTGGCGGACATGTTCTGCTATCTCGTCCCAGCAGTTAAGCGCATGTTGGAGTTCTTCAGAGTATTCAGATAGGTCTGGATACTCTGCCTCATGGCAGAGGACATGCTTGAAATACTCGATACTAGTATGCTTGTACCTCGTGATAGTCTCTGGGTCGTGGGTAAGAGTACCACAGTCAAATACTTTATAGGTGTTTCAGCTCAGTATAGTGCTGGGGGCATAGCAGACGGGAACCCATACAATCATCCCATATAAAGTACTTGAATTATAGTCAGTCCAGTATCGAAACGTTTGGAAGGCACACTTACCCAAGTAAACCACTTCGCCACCGTACAGAGTCTTTCGAAGGATGACTTTGCGCACATAATCGCCGCAAATGTTGTGCAATCTGCTTCCTGGAGCTTCCGACGAATATCTGGGTTCTCAACAACGCTTTTTTTTATTGGTGTAAGCTTGGAATTTGCTTGTTCTCAGAATCAATGAAGCACTGACGTACCGTTTAATCCACGGATTAGTAGATTCATCTCGAGATCTCGCATATTCAGGGTGCAACTGAGGAGTCCAGTCCGGGAATAAGGAGTAAAGATTTGGTAGAACAGCACGTTGTCCTTTGAGTGATTGACAAAGCTCTTGGCGTCGCTCCATGGTGGACTGCTTATCCTATTTGACTAACAATATAATGATTATTTATACGAGATAAGTGTAGTACTTATAATTTCGAATATTATGCTTAACTGCCGATGTTATGTATTCGTGGTATCAAGGGACCGCGCACCCACCTACATACCGCGAAAGTCGCGGCTCTGGCGGGATTGATGCATCAGCCAACAGCATTTCGCGCTTTTGAAAGCACTTATTTTGCTATGTGTATTAATTTAACACATGTCCCTTGAACTTAAGCTTTCAGATCTGCGCTCTGAGATACCACTTAACAATCTCAGATGAAAGATATTATCATGACTGTCCACACGTTCCACAACGCGGTTACACAGCGTAGATGCATCTACCCCTTGTTTCCGTGAGTTCGGCGCCCAGCCAATCTAGCTATGCAGAACGCTCGTATCGTAAGCCAGAGAACTTATATACGTCATCTTTCATAATAGCCCGCAGTTCAATTCGGAGTCGTGTGACCGTGAGGCTTCATACCTTGCAGATAAAATTAGAGAGGTCAGGAGTCCACAACGCATTGATAGGGGTTGCTTCGAGCGTGACTGCCGTAGAAGGACAATAAATGGGTGCAAGATTCAAGATCTGAGTGAAGCCATATCATATCATCCAAAAATACAACATTCCGTGAAAGTTCATTGACAAAAAATACTAGTCTTTTAACCCTTATCTTTGCCGATTTCGGTGTATCCCTTACTGTTAGCCTTTCTAACAAGCTTCTGACTGAAGCCCAATATGAGCACCTCTATACTAGTTCAATGTGCCAAAGACCTCGTTGCCAAGGTCGCCTCTGAGTCAAAGTCACAATATGGATTTTCCTCTATGGTTCCATCTATCTATGATACTGCATGGCTAGCTATGGTCGAGAAGAAGAAACACCAAGGGTACGAATGGGTCTTCTCAACCAGCTTCGAGTATCTCCTCCGCGAACAAACGGATGATGGTGGCTGGGATCCCCTCGAAGGTGTTACCAGACGACACAATGAATACCCCGAGAATATCTGGATCCAAGATTGTGTCGTCCATTCGTTGGCTGCCCTACTCGCCCTATGTAGACATGTCCGGCGTTCTTCATCTCATTACAAAGAACCGCTGCCCGATGATATTCTGTTCAGACTGTTCCGCGCAAAGTCGTTTCTCGATGCCAAATTGCAGAAATGGCAACCAGACGAAACCATCCATTTCACGGTTGAACTGATTGTTCCGGTTCTACTCCATCTTCTGAGTGAAGAGGGTGTAGATTTTAAATTTCCTGCGAAGAATGACTTGCTGAGCAAGTATGCTGCAGCCTCTAGCATTGACATTGGCTGGCTATATCAGGGACCTTGCAGTATCCCGTTGTTTTCGCTGGAAGGGTTCGCGAGGCAGCTTGATTGGAGCAAGCTGGGATGTCTCGTTACTTCTGCAGGTATTACCGCCTCCCCGGCTTCTGCCGCTGCGTATTTGATATTCTCTCCTACGTGGAGTGATGAGTGTGAGGCATATCTTCGTCACATTGTGGCGCACGGCCACGGGAAGGGAAATGGTGGAGTCGGGGGAGTATATCCCCTAGAGGTATTCGAGCCCTGCTGGGTAAGTTACATTTACCGAGGCGAGTCAAACGAACCATCGGAAGTGCTGCTAACACATGTTGCTATAGGTTTTATCAACGTTGCTAGAAAGCGGCTTTACGGTCGACAATATAGGAACAGAATATGTGGGCGATCTGATTGACTTGACTCATAGGTCTATGCCCAATGGTCTGGCTGGTGCTAGTAGGTATAACTCAGACAGTATATCCATTGCGGTGATTAACTCGTAATCCTTCAGCGAATACCTTCCTTCCCGACGCGGACGACACAGCACGTGCTTTGATGGTCCTCAATAACAACGGCTATGAAGTTAGCTGCGCAAACCTAATCAAGAACTTCGAGGGGAATGACTGCTTCGAGACTTTTGATGACCGAATGCCCCAACGTGTGACGAGCGTGAGCGTCAACGGCAACGTTCTAAACTGTCTGCTTTCGTCACCCGATCCCAGTGCCTACACCCCACAGATAGAGAAGATTGCCAAGTTTATGTGCACCAAATGGAGCAAGGAGAAGATGCTTAATGATCACTGGGTATGTGCACTGATCTGGATATCAATTTTGTCTGGCATAGCACTGATCAGTCGTACTTTAGAACTTCTCCGAGTACTACGGGATCATGATTATGGCCCAATCATTGGTCCCGGTCAGGGTCCTTTGGGATCAGGGATGCCTACCGGGTCTCACAGAAGATATCATTCAAGATCGTATTCTTCAATGTCTGCAAGAGGTATTGAACCGTGTGATATGCGGACAGAACGACGATGGCTCCTGGGGCAACATGCACGGGGCCGAGGAGACAGCATACGCAATCATTGCTCTTGCCCAACTAGCGTCGCATGCTGCAATTGCTAGTGACTACAGTAAAGCCGACCTGGCTATTGCTAGGGGAAAGCAATTTCTGTTAGAGACCTGGACCATGGGCCAGAAGCCGGACAGGATCTGGACGGGGAAGGTCATGCATGGCATATCGTATGTGCATGATGCGCATGTGCTTGCTGCTTTGAAAATTAATCGGGCAAATTTGGCTGGAAAGCGAGGGTTCTTCTGAAGAAGTGTGTAAAAACCCATCGTGAAAACAAAATCCTTCGTTATTAGTACTTGACGAAGTTGCGATTTTAAAATGTCCCGGTTCATATCGTACAAAAATTCCATACCGGTTCGAGACATAAGGCTGCTGCAATTGCATTTCGAGACTGGCGAGTTCGGTCTAGGCAGGCTTTAGATAAACAAATAAAATTGTGCAGCAGACTCTCAACGATCTCACATGCCCATACAAGCCACAAATATGATACAGTCAATAATTACCGCACCAATTACTGCAGTTCAGTACAAGTAGCCCCCATCCACAGGGTATGTGGACCCCGTCACAAAGGAAGCTTCCTGGCTGAGAAGAAAGGCGATAACGTTCGCTACTTCTTCTGGTTTCGCAAGCCTCTGCATATCCGACATCAAAATCATGGGGATTTGAAGTCTTTGAATGCCTTCTCGGTAAGTGGTGTAGAGACCACCGCACTGGGGAGGTCAGTGAGACACCACAATTGGCAAAAGAGGACAACTTACGGTGCCACGCAGTTCACCCTGATACCCTTCGGTGCCAAATGCTGAGCAATTCTCTGCGTCAATCCCACAGCCCCATGTTTACTGACAGTCTATGCCAGCCCGACCCCTGGAACGGCTGTTAACCCTACTATACTCGAGACATTCACAATAGATGCGCCCTCAGAAGATGCGTTCCTGGCCTGCGCCCGGACACAATGCATTACCCCCGTCAAATTAGTCCCGATTATATGGTCCCACTCTGCAGCATCGAGAGGATTGCCCGATAATTGCTTTTCAGTGACTCTTGCAACATTAGCTGCTCCGTATATAGGGCCCAGTTTGTCTGTGCTCCTTTTGATCCACGAGTCGACCTGTGCGGAATCGCGGACATCCAACGCTGTTGTTAGAATGTGTGACTTAGGGCTGTTCTCTGATTCAATAAGTGTCCTTGCTTTTCCAAGTCCTTCGGCGTTGATATCTGCTATTGATAGGGCTGCACCACGCTGGGCGAGTAATCGAGCGGTGGCTAGGCCGATCCCAGAGGCTGCGCCCGTTACGGCAATTAGTTTGCCGGTGAAGGGCATGATGGTTGGTCGAAATATGCTGAAGGTTAAGGGTGAAGTGTGTAGTGGTTGTTGTCGTTGACGCTAGCTGATGGAAATGGTAGGTATCATCCAGCGCTATTGTACTCGTGAAGACCGAAACATATATGCAAGGATCTAAGGCACCTTGGAGGTAAATTCTGATGCGAACCAAGCATGATTGGCACGGAGTATGAATACCGTGACATGGGACACCGACACCTAAGCTAAAGAATGTTTGTACCACGGTGACTTAGGCAAGGACTAGTTACACAGATCACATACTCCCCGCCCGCACCAAGAACCATTTTTCGTGTTCTGAGCAGAGCAACATCCAAAGCCCAGTACTTGGTGGCTGTCAACACGGTGCAAGTCATCAATGGCCCTCGCATGTGATGATATCTCAGTGGCCTACGTCGAGACTGAGATGGGTTGCCACTAAAGCGCATGTTGTGATTTACGTAAAATTCATAACGGCTGATATTTTTCGATCTCTACACGATGGCCTTAGAAAGGTGGTATATGATAACTTTACTGAGACCGAAAGCTGCACTTTTGGGGCGCGGAGAGGAAGGGATTATGCCACACTCAACGCCTGCTCACCCCTAGCCACGCGACATCAAAGCATTGTTTCCTGTCATGTATGTGTATGAGCCACATTTGCTCAAGCCCAGAATTGAGTTTAACTAACTACCATCTCGGAGTATCCAGGGGGCCTTTGTGCTTAGAGGGACGAATTAGAACAGGAATGCATCACTTCCGAATTATGCCATTCGGATGAGGAAGACAAGATCTGCCTTTTTTATCTTCTGGCTGATACTACCGCGGTTCAATATATATATAATTTTCTTTTCTAAAAGAAAAGGCAATGAAAATAAAAGACAAAAGGCCCGATTCTCCTATCTCTTATCCGACCGACCCTTGCGATTTAATATCAATACTCACAGATAATCCCGGTTGTGTCCCAGCTCGTTCCAGAGGTGTGCTCCACGATCACCATAGTTTTCTTCACCCACAATCCGACCAGCCCCTCGACCGGTTCTTCCGCAGCATACTAATTCATCAAGTCCACCATGAGCTTCTGTGGATAGGCCTATGCCCCTCGTGGTACTCCACTCAGGTTTAGAAACAGAGACGGCCCCTTGTTTCCTCATCTCGACCCCGGGCTGTGTTCCATGGCAGTCTCAATGTCCGCCAACGTGGGGAACGTGATGCATTACACTTATAGAGTACTGACGATATTCTTCTGCTGTCTAAGGTAATTAGATGCAATGCAATATGTATAGTTATCGCAAGCATTGGCTCTAGTACTTACGACTATGATTAGTTGGTTACTGCAATCACAATCATCAGGAGAGGAGCTATTCTGAACTTTCCGCCATAGTCGTCCAACATCATTGGCCTTGCACTAGTATATACTGGAGGTATGTGATTGCTCATACACAGTAGACTACGGTGTCAATGTGGAGGGAAACATTAAGCTGGTTCTAAATGTTGGGGTGACTCTGGCACTCCAGCGCGGAGGTATGACCGTACAGCCGGACACGATGCATCTATAAGGGAATTTGAGATACACGATCAGCTCGCATGTCTTAGTGAATGCGGATGCGCTGGTTATCAGTGGGCTGTCTATCTATGAATGAGAAGATGAACTATCTGTGAGTGGTCATGCAATCTCCACCGGAAGACACATGACCCAACACATTTACTTTAAGATATGGATACAAAATGGTTGTATCCCGTTTATCATTCACGAAATATGCGTCATTACCGCTCCCAAATACATTATGCGACTAAGTTGTAGCTCTATGTCCCTTTGCTGATTTACTCTCCTTCTGACTCAACCCCGTTTGCGTCACTCCACCCGGGTTTTTACCCGGGAACCTTTACGGCTTCAGGCGACTGTACTGGCCATGAACGGATGGATAAATACCTTCGATAAGCTGGTTGGTCATATGTGTTATGCTTCTCTTTCAGTGTGCGTAATCATGAAAGTTCTGTCTCCTTCCTTCCCCACATCCCTTGCCTCCTAATCCGGGAAGAAGTGTGGGCATCTGTGATACATATTGTACTAGTGTAGTGTGGTCAAGCCAATGCGGTTCTTAGTAGCATGGGTACCGTACAGAGCTCTTTTGTGAGCTGTCGAAATGCTATACTTTGAAATTGTGGAAAAGATATATAACAGTGTCGAAGACAACAAACTACGTGATCCTTCCTGGTCGATCAATCATTTAATAATTCTCGTTACTAGGCGACTTCGATCCAGGGCTATGACAATTCCCCCCCCCCCCACCCAAAAAAAAAAAAAACCTTGACCACTAGTTCACTTACATGTGATTATTCTAATCAACAATGCTGATTGAAAAGAGTACCAAAAATAAAAAATAACATACACAAAAAAAAACATACAACAGAAGGGATTCGCTGGTGGTCACCCACCCAACTACTAACCTCCCGGCGTGTGGCTTAAGTACGGCTGAGCGGACGGGAAGCCCTGTTTTCCACACCCTGTGGTCGTATGTACTAGCAAAATATTGCATTCGGATGATATAGAACGCATGGAAATATCTCAAGTAATTAGGAAAGCACAGGATGGCCGGGTTTCATTGGTCTTGTTGGGTATGGAGAAAGCTTCCATGTCATTAAAGAGTAAGAAGCAATGGATGGATATGGAAGATAAGCAGGTTGGGCCACAGGGCAAGCAAATAATTATTGTACTCTCGCATCGCTTTGGGGTATCTGTCTTGTGCTTCAGGTGTCCACCCCTGAAACGATGTGGTTCCATCATGTCATCTTCCGTATTTAGAACGATTTTGCCTTCCGGGATAGAGGATATTATATATAGTATTATTCGCATGTCATCTATCAGTGTTGCTCTCATACATTATGGCCATCGTAGAATACTATAGCTACGACGTAACTACTTATTCGGCCCCTCCTCCACGACCCGTAAATCATCCTTCTCCTCCAACTGGTCCTTCTCCTTCAAGCCAAATTCCGACTCCAGCGTCGTGCGCAACTCGACCTCTTTCTCCAACCAAGCAATAATGAACCCCAACCCCGCAAATACGACCGAGATCTGCCACACGCGCTGCATCGCTCCGGTATACGCCTCGATAATAGCAGGCTGCACATCCATAGGGAATGTGGACACGAAGTCCCCGGATGCCTGCTCGTACGCCCCACTAGAGTTCAGTATAGCCGCAATACGCGAATCCTTATCCAGTCCGGCAGCCGCTACACGCGAGGCGAACTGATTATTGAAGATCGCAGCGGGGATAGCGACTCCCCACACGGACCCCAAAGAGCGCAGAAAGGCCCAAGTGGCAGTGGAGGCGGCGACATCTGTCTCAGCTAGTTCAGCCTGAGCGGCAGGGAGAGTGGAAGTGATAACAAAGCCGGATCCGATGCCTGCAAGGAGTTGGAAGCCAGTCCAGGCACCGGTGCTGGAGTTTTTGTCAAGGAGACTAAACAGGCCCATGCCAAGGGCCATAAAAACAAAGCCGGCGATTTGGATGGGCTTGTAGCGTCCGGTCTTCGTGAGGACTACGCCTGCGACAATGGCCGCGGGTACTGTGACGATGACGGTGGGGAGGAGTTGCACGCCAGAGCGGATGGGAGAGCTGCTCTTTACGCCTTGGAAGTAGACAGGCAGGAAGTAGATCGTCCAGTAAAGGAGCATGCCATGGAGAAAGGTGAGAGTGAAGGCCGCCAGAGAGGTCCTATTGGCGAAAAGGCGGAGTGGCATAGTGGGTTCGGGGCATAGCTTAGGGGTTGCTTGAATAGCCGGGAAAGCGACCAGAAGGCCGAGGAGGCCGAGGACTAATGGTACAACTACATGCCAGCTTGACCAGGAGTAGGTGGTACCGCCAAAGCTGAGGGCGATCAGGATGGCCACGACCGAAGCGATGAGCAGTCCGTTGCCAAGCCAGTCAATGCGCTTCAGCTTCTGGACCAGTGTAGTGTTCTTCTGATACTTCACCTGAAGGAAGAGAAGCATGAGGCCGATGGCTGCCCCTGCGATCGGCAGACTGATATAGAAAGACCAGCGCCAAGTGACATTCTCAGTGAAAGCGCCTCCAATAAACGGGCCTAGAGAGGAGCCCACCGCGAAGACGACGAAGATGAGCGCCATGATCTGACCCCGCTCGCGCAGCGGTACGAGGTCACAGACAACCTGCAGCGAATCAGAACAAGAGCAAACAAGCAAATAAGGGGAATTCAAGCTTCAGGAATCGTACAATATCCACCAGCATGTTGACTCCTCCCAGGCCCACTCCTTGCACAGTGCGTCCGGCAATAAGCATGCCGGAGGATGAAGCGCCCCCGCTGATTCCACTCCCAAGGGCAAAAAAGGCGACGGCGGAAATCAGCGGCCATCGTCGGCCCCAGACATCGGCGAGTTGGCCATAGAGAGGCTGGAAGGCCGTGCTGGAGAGGAAGAAAGCATTGACAAACCAGATATACGACTCTCCGGCGTTCAGGTCCCGAGAAATGGTGGGAAGGGCCGTCGAGGTGACAGTGGACTCAACGGCCGTCAGGAGCGAGGTAACGGCGCAACCCGCAATAATCAGCCAGAAGCGCCAGCCCCTCGAGGAGGAGGATGAGGGTTGTGCTTCCATGGCTGCGGGAGGATGAGGGAAGGATTGGGAGGCGCAGGCAAACCGTGAACCTTTAAAGCGCGCAGGAAGAAGAAGGCTGAACCAGGATGAGTAGAGATGGGAGTTGAGGTTTCAGCTGAAAGGTTGAACGGGAAAGGGGCTCTGGGCTCCGGTTACTCGGTCCAGATTCTGCCTCGATGCGACGTGTGTATTATACCGTCTGGTATGCACTGGTACCATACAGGTTTTATCAGAAGGAGAAAGGCTATCAGTCGATATTAATGTGTTGGTCTGGAAAATGGTGCCAGCGACACTCGCAGGACGCTAACCCTACAGACCCCGGCTGATAGGTGGGGATGCGCAGGGGATGCGAAGGATGACAACTGCCCAATGGGCCAATTGTCCGTTACTCGGGCCATTTACTAGCGTGGAATATGCAGTGAACAAAGAGAATCCCTGGACAATTTCAAAGAATAATCATGGTTCACATTCCTTCGCTTTGTTGAACTGTTGGAACATCTCACCTTCCTACTTCGGACCCCAGTAGCATCGGCATTGCTCTTCCGGTCTAGTAGTTAGTAGCAGTTGGTAGTGTTATGATAGACCAATGGGAGTGCACTGAGAAAGATCAGAGACAGGCTATCGATAAGGCTAATTTATTTACATTTAGTACACGGAGTTCATGAAAACGAAGAGCTCTCTCAAGCGAAATTGCACGATAATCATGGCTGATGCTTATCCCTCCTGCCCTCCTCAAGCTCCAGCGATGGATCAGCAGAGTTCGTCCATGGACCCGATTCCCCCTCATCCCAAGAACTGTTAGTCAGCTCAGTCACACTATCGAGGCGCTGCGCATGTCTTTGCCCTTTGCCTTGAGCGACCCGACCGTTCGTCGACATCATATACCCATGTGGTTTGAACGGACGGCGGGATTTAGATACCGTGGTTGATTTCTGGACCACGCGCAGCAACGGCGCTGATGCAGGGATACACGCTGTCACCACACCCCAGCAGAGCTGCACACTATTCCACATATAACTGTCCGTGTCATCCCAAGACAAATCTCCCCCATTCTCTAGCTTCCATGAATAATAGAAACGCACCGCCGAGATGGCTGTCACGAACGCACCCAACGAAAACGTGAAGATCACCGCAGCCTTCTTGCGGCACGGCATCTGGAGATTCCAAAGAACAAATACCGGGACCAAGAGCATAACTACTTCGGAGAACAGATCGAGAAGTAGGGGAACGCCCAAATGCAAGCGTTGGGGCTCGCAGTGTCCGTGCAAGGGCTCCGGGGGTTCAAAGCCGAAGATCGGATATACGCGCAACCAGAACATTTGTGGTGGTACGCAGGCGCAAATAAAGGCTACCGTAGATCCGACACCTAGCCCCGTGCAGAAGACAAAGAGGGCCCAGATGGTGTAGCGTAGAGATCTTATGATGGAGTTGAAGGCGCGCTGGTAGAAGAAGAGGATGGAAAGCTTGTTGAACATGAGGGCTGCGGCTTGCAACACGGTCACCACATAACCCATCTATGTATGAAGAGAACATTTAGTTACATGATTGGACATCCCACCTAGGACCCTAGAGAGGGAGAGTATGTTTTTGAAACTCACCTCGAAGATGAACGCCGTTCTCTCGGGGGGATGGGGATCCTCCTTCATAACCCAGTACTGCATGGACTCGTCAGCCCTACTCTCCTGCGTAAGTCCATTTGGTTCTCGGGTATTGCTAACCTCATGACGACCTAGTCCATTCTTCACAGCAGCAATAGTGCAACTGGACACTGCCAGGGCTAGTATGGATGCAAATATGATAAGGATACTATCTGGTGTGAAGAGGCGGCGGATGGTGGCCTGGGCCACGAGGCGGACCACAGTAGCAAGCACACAGAAGAACATGCTAATGATGCATGCTGCCAGAACCTCGGGTCCCCGATTCTCACGGGAATGATTGCTCAGGAGCGCATCCATGGCGCTGGTATTGTTCGCCATACTGGTGGAAAGCAAGGCTCCTGTACAAAGTACACGCCAAAGAATCCTTTGGAGAAAGAAACGTGGTTGTGAGAAACTTTGGGAAATAAAACGACCTCTTTCGAGGTCCTTGATAGATTACCTATCAGCCTTCTTTCCTTCCCCTCATCCCGCTTGAGTAAGACTGCGTCTTACATGCATGCTACTGCATGGGGGCCACCGGCTCGGAACAGGTATGTACCTCTAAGAGAGCAGCAGGCGGCAGAGTCGTGTTGTATGTGGCTGGCCTTCTGCCCCAAGAGCCGGTAGGTTTTCGCCCATAACATGCAATATACCCGTGGGGGCTGAATGCGCCGCTTGAGGAATGTGAGGGGTTGTCAGCGACTTCATTGCTTGATGACGTCGGGGCAGGCCCGGAGGGGCTCAGTGCTAGATAGCTGCAATGTTGCAAAGTAATGTTCCATTCTCCACTAATGGAAGACGACCAGATGCATTTGACAGTTCTCTGGGGGAATTAGGAGGCGTGACGAGGACCCGTCAGGATTGCAGGAATACGCAGTAAAATTGGAGTGTATATAACCCAGCCAAGTTCCGACACTATTGCTGCATCATTAGGTGCCAAACATTCACCATAATGCCCGCCATACCTACAACGCAGAGTGCATTGGTGGTGCAGGGGCCCAACTCCCTCCGATGTGTGACCGACACCCCTGTGCCGTCCCTCGCAGGGGACCAGATCCTGGTGCAGACTAGGGCCGTTGCACTCAACCCGTCTGATTGGAAGATGCTCGATGCAGCAGCGGCCACCCCGGGCGCAATTAGTGGCAGCGACTTTGCTGGAGTCATCGTTGCATGTGGAGAAGAAGTGCAGAACATGTCAATCGGCGAACGTGTCTGCGGCTTTGTCTTTGGGGCCAGTCCTACAAGCCCGAACAATGGTGCCTTTGCAGATTATATCGTCGCTCACCCGAGTCTCTGCTTTCGAGTGCCTCCGACCATGACTTTTGAAGAGGCTGCATCTGTGGGTATGGGTCTCATGACTGTAGGACTACTCTTTCGTTCGCTTGGCTTGCAAACAGAGATAAGCCTCAACCCTGATTCAACGAACACAAACAAGCCATTTGTCCTCGTATACGGAGGCTCAACAGCGACCGGCACGCTGGCCATTCAGATGCTTCGACTCCATGGCTACCAGCCGATCACGACGTGCTCACCGCGGCATTTCCCGCTCGTAAAGCAGCGGGGGGCCACGGCAGCCTTTGACTACGCCTCACGCACTTGCAAGGAAGACATCCGTGCTTACACGAAGGGTACACTGGCGTTTGCTATGGACTGTATTGCCGACTCTCATGCCACAACGGTGTGCTACGGCGCTATTGGTGGGGATGGGGGCCGATATTGCGCATTAGACCGATATCCCCCTCGGCTGGAGGGTCGCCGGCAGGATATCCAACCAGAGTGGATTCACAGCGCCACTATTTTTGGGGAGGATGTCCAGCTAGCAGGGTCTTATCATCGCACTGCACGGCCTGAAGATCGCCAATTTGCTATTGAGTGGGCACGTCATTGCACCCACATTTTGGCACGGGGGGAATTGCAGACCCATCCACTGCAAGTGCAGAAAGGGGGTTTGCCCCGAATTGTTGGCGATTTGCCTCTGCTCCGGAGTAAGCAGATTTCGGGCCGCAAATTGGTCTATCCTGTGGGAAGCGCTTAGGCAATACGGCGGTAAATACTCCGTCGAAGCACACCAGGGCAGGAGTGGAAGTTCGACCGAAGAATACGAGTGGTCACCAATGTCCAGTAATGTTTGTTGAGCACGTTTCTGTCTTGGCTGGCAAAGAAGGCGTGAAAGAGGCATTGTGGTTTGCTGTTGGACGACACGCGTGACTGATCAGGGCGGTTTGATTTGTGCCTTAATCTGTTCCTCTAACATTATCACTTATGGTAACTGTTTACTTGGTTTATGACTGGTTAGTTAGATTTTCACAAGGATTCCGCAGAGCGAGAATAGCGAATCATGCCCCGAGCTAAGTGCTAGTGCTTACCTCTTTGGCGGCATTATCGAGCTAGGGCTGCAAGTTCTGGTGGCTTCGTAAGTCTAGGCTTCTGTTAATCACAGAGACATGTCTTCAACGCGCAGTGATGGATCCACTCGGTCTTCTTCTTCCAATTACATTCAATCATCATCCCATGAAGTCTCCATTTGGATGCTGACTGACAGTTCGGCATTAATAAGGGCCCAACTCCGCGTGGTTGAAAGGTGTCTAAAACTCTCTAAATTAGCATGATGCATCGTGTCAGCGCTAAACCCAAAAGAGGAGCCCAATGAGTGCATTCTTATCACCAACGATGATTCGGTTAATTAGTACAGCAGAAGGCGATAGAAAAGGGATAAAATGCATATTAATTCCATTGAGTTATAGACAGGGACCACTTACTCCACACTGATGTATTTTCCGAGCAGGATAAGCTGCAACCCCAGGTCCTCACTTCACGCAGTCTATGGACCAGCTAGTCCCACAAATAGTACAAATCACATACGTATCTTATTGGTGGAGCTAACTAGGTATTTGATGCTATCTTCTCTATTTCCCTTTTAGATGCGGATGCCCTCGGGAGCCGAAGTGGGCTTGCTATCATGGCCAAGGCTAGTGAGCTCCTCAAATGTACCATAATCGGCCTCGACCACCTTGCCATCCTCCACGAACACCTCCTCCCACCCCGCAGTCAACTTGGCGCGGGTCTGGTCACAGATCTCGTCCTCGCCAGCCACGAGGCTCTGGAAGTCTGGGTCTGTCACAATCGCCTGTGCTGTCTCCGCATTCGGCACGTACACACACACCATGATGTCGTGATCTTCGATCTCCCAGCCTGGACGTACGGCCCAAGGGATCTTCTCAGTGATAAGCCTCTTGCTGGCGCTAGGAGTGTGGTACTGCTCGGAATTTCCTTGGTCAGCTTATCTGCTTCAATAAACATCTTTGGAAATAGGACCCCGGCGGGGGCTTGGCAATGGGCAGTATAACAAACCTGGCACACTTTGATAGCGCCATGGCGAGCCTGTACGATGGCTGCCTTAGGAGCATGCGACTTGCTGGCGTATTCGTGGAATTCTTTCTCAGAGATCCCCTCCTTCTTGTAGCGGAAGGAGGTCAACTTGAGGACCATTTGCTTCTTGGGAGCCATGATGACGAGGGAAGAAGTGGAGTAATGAAGTGGTTCAATTAAGAAGAATGTAATGGAACAGATAGAAGTGTTGTTGTTGTGTAAATGAAATTGTTGTGAGGGCGCCTTCGCAACTATATATATATTTCTGTCCTCTGGTTTACAGCCCCCAAAACAAAGGATAGGGCAGTATCATCCCACCTGAGGGGTTATCTTCCGTGAAGCCACCACTTGGCTCGAAGCAATCATGGTCTGACATGCCAATGTACCCATTTGGAGATTTTGGGGCCAATTCCAGACATGAGCTCCGTGTTGCCTAACCACCGCGTTCATAGTAACGTCGGGGACCTGGTGAGGAACATCAGAGAAATTCCCGATATCCCTCGTGTTGATCATCGTCACAACTAAAGTCTTACCTATGCCAGTGCTAAAATCTTATCTACAGTAGTCTCATCGGTCTCACTGCCTAGATGGTCGAGTGACAGGGTGGGGCTGAATGCCAATACTACGCTCCTCTCTGCTTCTATGTGTATCCGACGAGGCGTAACGGTCCGGGGCAAGGAAAGATGGACATGGTCATAACAGGTACGAAACATGACAGAATTGGGGCTGTAAGGTGATAGTATGATTGGTCTGAACTAAATGTTCGTCTCAGTGGGTCATTATTTCGCTCAGTATACTGCCTCAATCGCCCTGTGCTAGCCGCCTGTACGGAGTGCTTGGAGCTATCTCCCCGAATCAGGCTATTAGCGAGGTTAGCCTGGTAGATAATATCAAATTGCACTGCCTACCAATATCGGCGGACAAGTCGGAACATGCCTTGTTGGGGGAGGCTCCACGGATTATCACAGGCGAGCTACATTGGCTCCGGAGTCCGTCGACACTACAAGGGTAGAATGGGTTCCTCCACATACCCCCGCTTACAGTGTTTAGAGGTGTGAGGGGCTTGGAGTTGTGTAGCCTGCGCGTTTTGTACATTATCTTTCTCGCTGGTTCCAAGTGATTGATTGACTTTGCAACCGGGGACATCATGGCACCAGAAAGAGAGCCTATTGCCATCATTGGGAGCGCATCACGCTTTCCCGGCAACGCTACCAGCCCACAGAAGCTCTGGGATCTTCTCATACATCCCAGAAACGTGGGAAAGGTAATTCCTGGGGACCGATTCTCTGTGGATGGGTTCTGGAACGCAGACGGGTCTCATCATGGCACGTCCAATGTCACACAATCCTACTTCATCGAAGACGATACCCGTCATTTTGATGCAAACTTCTTTAATATCAATCCCAGAGAAGCGGCGGCCATCGATCCTCAGCATCGCCTACTGCTCGAAGTCACCTATGAGGCTCTAGAGAGTGCAGGTCTCTCGATTGACATTCTCCGAGGGACTCCCACAGGGGTGTACGTGGGCCTTATGTGTGCCGATTATCTCGACGTCCAGTTAAGGGATCCGGAGGCCCTCGCGCAGTATCATGCCACAGGTACAGCACGCAGCATTCTGTCCAATCGGGTGTCTTACTTCTACGACTGGAAAGGGCCCTCGGTAACTGTCGACACCGCGTGTTCTTCTAGTCTCGTGGCTGTCCACCAAGCAGTGCAAGCCCTGCGCCAAGGAGAGTGCTCCACGGCTATGGCAGCGGGTGTTAATCTTATTTTTGGTCCTGAGATGTACATTGCCGAGTCGAATCTGCGCATGCTGTCGCCAACAGGCAAGTCCCGCATGTGGGATGCCAGTGCCGATGGGTATGCTCGTGGTGAAGGTGTCGGGGTAGTGATCCTCAAGAGGCTCGGTGATGCCCTCCGCGACGGGGATCCCATCGAGTCTGTGATCCGGGAAACGGCAGTGAATTCAGATGGACGCACGAACGGACTTACCATGCCATCCTCGGCCAGTCAGGCTGATTTGATTCGTCAGACCTACCGACGTGCTGGACTTGACCCTACCCAGGCATCTGATCGGTATGTTACACACTCATCACTTGTCTCCCACTTGCTGATTTATCCTGTCCAGATGCCAGTACTTTGAGGCTCACGGAACGGGGACGCCCGTCGGCGACCCCCTTGAAGCCGAGGCCATCCATTCAGCGTTCTTCCCCGAATCCCATGATGGCTGTCAGGTGCAAGAGAGCCAGCTGTATGTGGGGTCCATTAAGACAATTGTCGGCCACACAGAGGGGGCAGCTGGAATTGCAGGCTTGCTCAAGGCATCCTTGGCCCTGCAGCATGAGATCATCCCACCGAACCTACATTTCAAGCGGCTGAACCCCAACATTGTACCCTTCTACGACGGTCTTCATGTCCCCATCAAACCGATTCCATGGCCACCGGCGCAGGTTCGCCGTGCTTCAGTCAACAGCTTCGGTTTTGGGGGGACTAATGCACACTGTGTAAGCTACCATGTCTCTTCCTATGATCTGGTCGCTAATTCCAGTAACAGATTCTCGAACATTACGCACCTTCCGTTCATGGGGGGGCAAAAGAAGGCTCTGAGAAACCAGTGAATGAGCCGGCGGTTGAAAGCCCGCTGATTAGCTTGCCATTCTCCGCCTCATCCCAATCGTCCTTGGCCCGCTTAATACAGCAATATGCTGGCTTCATCGCCACCCACCCATCGGTCGACATGCAAGCAGTATCCTTGGCTCTACAGAAACGCTCGAATCTCCCTTTCAAGCACTATGTGACTGGTCTTTCCCACAACTCAATTTTACAGCAGTTACAAGACCCTCAGTGGAAGCTCGGGCCTTCCGGTGGAGGTGCTGAGGCCCACAATTCCGCGATCCTCGGAGTCTTTACGGGTCAGGGGGCGCAATGGCCCACCATGGGTCGTGAGCTGCTGCTTCGGCCCGGTCCGTTCACGGCGACCATTGATCGCCTCGATGATATACTCAGGCAGCTGCCAGAGCCTCCTACATGGTCTCTACGGGAAGAGATCCTCGCCGATCCGGACACATCTAGGTGTCAGCAGTCAACGTATGCCCAGCCACTAACTACCGCTGTTCAAGTAGCCCTGGTCGACCTGCTCTACAGTGTTGGCATTCGTTTCTCTGTGGTAGTTGGACATAGCAGTGGTGAAATAGGTGCCGTAAGTTGGTCCACTGCCATCGTGAAAATCCTAGATCTAAACTAACTTAACCGCCTTGTAGGCCTACGCAGCAGGCTGCATCACGGCGGAAGCTGCTATTACAATTGCCTACTATCGCGGCCTCTACTCACCGCGTGCAGACCCCGGGGAGGGCGGGCCTAAGCGGTCAATGATGGCCGTGGGGATGGGATTTAATGAAGCCACCCGCTTCTGCACCCAACCCGAGTATGCTGGGAAGATCTTTCCGGCTGCGAGCAACGCGCCCTCCTCGACCACGCTGGCGGGAGACTTGTTCACTTTGGAATTTGCCAGAGACGAGCTAACCCGCCAACAGAAGTTCGCTCGCATACTTCGGGTCGATAAGGCCTACCATTCGCCTTTCATGGAGCCGTGTGCAGAGCCTTACATGCAAGCTCTCCAGGCGCGCAACTTTGCATACCGCACCTCTGGCCCGTCTTGTACCTGGATATCCTCTGTCCATGGCTTTGAAATGGATTGCAGCTCGGATTGCGTGAACGACAGCTACTGGCTGAAGAATCTTCTTCAACCGGTCCTGTTTTCGGATGCTTTATCACAGGCCATCCGGGACCATGGTCCCTTTAATTGCGTGATTGAGGTTGGTCCTCATCCAGCGTTGGCTGGTCCAGCCGGACAGACCTTCAAGGCACTCCAGCAGAACGTACCTACCTACCTAGGTGCGCTGACTCGTGGAGAAAATGATGTTCTTCGTCTGAGTAGGTGTCTTGGTGAGGTATGGAAGCTCTGCGGTCCATCCTCTGTCAATCTCCGGGTATTCCAAAGCCTCATCAATGGAGAAGCCGGCACCCTGCCAGCGATGCTCCCCAAGATCCTTCCAAGCTATCCGTGGGACCACGAGCGACCGTACTGGCGGGAGTCGCGCTCTTCGAAAGAATATCGCACCCGGGCACCTTCTCATGAGCTGCTCGGCGTCTGCGTGGAGCAATCCGAGCAATTCTGGCGGTGGCGAAATATCCTGCATCCCCGGGAAATCCCATGGCTGCAAGGCCACGAATTCCAAGGTGAGATGCTATTCCCAGCTGCAGGATATTGCATAATGGCCATGGAAGCAGCTTTGCGCTTCTCCTACCCACAGCCCGTACGTCTCCTGGAGCTGCATGATCTGGATATCCGTCGCGGTATCAGCATCGATGGAAGCGCCGACGGCATAGAACTCCATTGCCACCTCGGCCCGAATTCTACACGAGAGTCAGAGAAGTCGTCAGCCTTGAAAGTTGTCAATCTCATCTTTACCTGTACCGCTGGTCACGTCGATGGCTCCGATGCATTAACAACCAGATTTAGCACCCGCGTCCGACTAGAAATGGGAAGTCCTGACCTCACTGTTCTGCCCAGAAAGCAGCAACAGTCTTCGGGTAACTCCCCTGTAGACATCGAACGGTTTTATGGGTCCATGTCCCAGCTGGGCTTGAATTATACTGGGCCATTTCATTCTCTGCTAGCCAGCAAGCGGCGGCTGTTCCAAGCGTCGGCAACCGTGGCCCATGTGCCATCTTCTTCCTCCTTCATGCACCCGGGTGTCTTGGATACATGTTTTCAAACCCTTTTTGTAGCCTTTGCATCTCCGGATGATGAGTATGTACTACCAAACCTACGTTACCCTCCTATTGCACTTACTTATACATCTTGTAGGAGCCTTCGGACACCTCATCTGCCAAGGGAGATCCGATCTATACGATTCAACCCAGCAGCCATAGCCCACCCGGATCATCCTAGGGGCTCTCCGTTCCAGGTCGAATCTTATGTCACAAAGGCTACGCCTCCCACTCGGAAAATCCCGTCAGACATGGTGGGTGACATCGATGTCTATACTGCAGCTGGTGATTGTGTATTGCAAATTGAGTCGCTGCGGTGTGTTGCGCTAGCAGTCACTACTGAGAAGGACGACCGTGCTATGTTTCACCGCACTCACTGGGAGATTGACATCGATGCAGGGATGGTCGTCTCCTTCGATAAGCCAAACACGGAGTACTCAACGATCCTGGAGCAATTTGAGGCGGTCGCCCGTCAGGCTATTGATGGCACACCCCCGGCAATTGGCGACATAGTCTCTCCGGAACTGCAGTTGATTCAAAATGCCATATCTCTTCATTTTGCACCTCCTAGTGAGGTACCCGAGGCCCAAGCGACATTCAAAGCGGCGCAGAGCCAGTACTGGAAGACGAGCGCCGGGGCCCAACGAATGCAAGAGTATGTCGTGCGCACTGTGAAGCAGGTGACGCACAAGTATCCTCGCATGCGAATCCTCTTACTCCTCGGTGGAAATGATGATGTATCCGTTTCACGACGCATACTGCACGCTATCAATGGTAACTACACGTCTCTCATACTCACCGGCTCGTCTTTAGAAACATTGAAGACTGCAAAGGAGCGCCTGAAGCCTTACGGTGATTCCGTGCAAGTGGAAACTCTGGACTTGGGTACGTCACCACCTGAGATGTTATACGATATGGTCATTGTTCAAATTGGCGTGTTGGGTGAGGGGTCTGCTTCGATTCCCCTAGAATATTGCCGTCGCGTCTTGAAGACCGGTGGCTTCCTGCTATTCGGTTCTATCACAGGGCGTGGCAACTTCGCTGGTTGTCTCCAAGGGCGCCTCGTGGACGAACACAGAATCAATTCTGAACCAGAACGTATTTGGGAAGCGCTGCTTCAGCAGTCCGGATTTTCCGGCTTAGAAAGTGTTGCCTATGACACCGGAAACCCCCAGTTACACTGCCACTCCCTAATTCTGTCTCGGGCCATGGATGCCTCCTTACAGTCTCTCCAGCACCCGCTTGCTTATCCGGACCAAACAAACGAGGCCGCAGATAAGGACCACGTCCTCATCATTGGAGGCCACACTGGCATTGGGAGCCAAGGATTGCAAGCACTTCGAAGCCATTTGTCCAAGTGGAAGCGGGGATTGACCAACGTCGCCTCTCTTGAGGATCTTGGCAGTTACAAATCGCAGAATATTCCGAGCCACGTTCTATGCCTGACCGATGTCGACGCTCCCCTGTTCCGGAACCTCAGTGCCGAACAATTTGCGGCGCTCCAGAGGCTCTTTCAGGAGGCTCACAATGTGTACTGGGTGACGCGAGGATTCAAACAAGGTGATCCTTATAGTGCCATGACCGTTGGTCTGGGGCGAGTCGTGCAAACAGAATTGCAGGGTCTGAATCTGGGCTTTCTTGACATTGACGTGGTGGATGAGAATGGAATCACCCAGATTGCAACTCGGTTTGCCCAGTTTGTTAGTCATGGCCAACACAGTCATGCTGTCAGCGCTGAAACTAGCCTGTGGTGCCAAGAGCGGGAGGTCTCCCTTGAAAATGGCCTGCCCTATATCCCCCGCGTGAAGCATGCCCAAGACATGAATGCTCGGTTTAATTCAGCCTTCCGAGTGATCGAACAACCTTTGGGGCTTGATGCATCATTGTCAAAGCAGTCCGATACTGCTTCAGAGCTGGAGGTTGTGGCCAGTGTTCTTGCGCGTTCCGCCTATGCTCTTAAGCTCACCAATGAAGTTAACGCGTATCTCTGTATCGTGAATGTCAACAGTACAGGGAGCGATCGTCTGGGATTGGTTGTCTCCTCGTCAGCTGAAGAGACAGTTGTGGTATGCAAACGAGACGACATCCTTGACATTGGTCCCCGGCAAACCCACACAATCAGTGCCCCTAAAATATTAAGCATTCTGGTTGCATTGCACATATCTGAGCGCGTTCAGGCATTTCTTTGCTATTCCACTACACTTGTCTTCACGAATGATCCATGGCTACTAAGAGTCCTCGCCATGTCCAGGGAATCCGACCAACGAGCACTCATACTGGCCACGTCCGATGAGGGGGCCATGGATTGGGACAAATCGATCATATATGTGCATCCGCATACACCAACACGGGATCTCCTGTCTTTGGTGCCACAAGGCGTGAGCAAATTCATCAACCTAGACACCGAGTTCCAACCTTTGCATGACCGTCTGCTAGCCGTGATCCCGAGGACAAGTGCTAGCCAATCCGCCAAGGATTATCTCTTGGAGCGAGCGTCAACTGGCCATGTTCTCTCACCATCCCAGTCATCTAGAGATGCGTTGGACATGCTCTGGACCCAGTGGCTGATATCTTCAGCAGCCCTGCAGAGTATTATGCAGCCCGACACTGTCGTTCCTCATGGTCTCTCAGCCTGCGCTGTCAAGTCTTACAACCCCCAAGAGAACCCCCATGTGACCGTCCATCGACTAGATCCCAGCACAATCCTCCGCCGCGACGCAACATATCTCCTAGTCGGAATGACCGGAGAATTAGGCCAATCTCTCTGTCGGTGGCTGGTAGCCAACGGTGCAAAACATCTAGTCATCGCGAGCCGGTCTGTGAAGCCCGTGCCGTGGCATGAAGAACTACAACAATCATCTGGCTGCCAGTTGATGACTTTACCTTTAGATGTTTGCGATATGCAGGCTCTGCGCCTTGCACATCAGAACATTTTGCAATCCATGCCGCCGATTGCCGGCGTTGTGAACGGGGCCATGGTCCTGGCTGATGCAATATTTGTCAACATGGCGTATGAAGACTTCACTCGCGTACTGGAACCCAAAGTTAGGGGAAGCAAAAACTTGGACGAATTATTCTCCGGGAATGAGCTCGATTTCTTCATCATGCTATCTTCCACGGCATCCCTTATTGGGAATGCCGGGCAGAGTAATTATTCTGCTGCTAATATGGTGAGTGAATATTTCTTTGCAGGACTTCCACTTGTTTTCACTTTATCTAACACACTACAGTATATGAAAGCACTCGCCGAACAGCGCCGCCAGCGCGGCCTTGCGGGATCTTGCTTCGACATCGGCATGATCCTTGGCGTCGGTGTAGTCTCGCGGGAGCGGGTTTACGAGGAGCCACTGCGCAAAGCAGGATTAATGCCCATCGCTGAGCCCGATTTCCATTGCATGTTTACCGAAGCCATGTGGTTGGGTCGCCCCGGCATGTCTGCCGATTCTTCCCCTTGCTTTTCCACCGGGCTCCATGTTCCCCCGGGCACAATGCGGCCGGCATGGTACCACGATCCCCGGTTTTCACACTTCCAAGTTCCCGAAGAGGATATCAACCGGAGTGCAGGCGCCGGAAAAGACGCTGCGGTGACCCTCGAGGAACAGCTCCGGTGTACCTCTGAATTAACAGCTGCAGAGGGCCTGATTCAAGAGGCTTTCGTTGTGAGACTACAAAGTTTACTCCAGCTTACCGGACCGATCGATGATGTGACGCGTGCCCTTTCAGAGCTTGGAATCGACTCACTGCTCGCTATCGAAATTAAGACTTGGTTCTTCCAAGAGCTGGGATTCCAGGTTTCTGTGATGAAGATCCTCAATGGCATCTCTGTCCGTGGTGTATGTCGTGAGGCAGCCGAGCACGTCTTCAGGGCTAGAGCAGCAGAGAGCGATGAAGGGGCTTCAACCGTCGAAAGTGTGAAGGTTCTGAAAACACTAGAGGCTCCAACTCCTCGGCTGCAAGAGGATGAAGCGACTGAAACGGTCTCAACGGTCGCTCGCACGCAGGAAACCCCTTTCAGTGACACATCATCGCAGACAAGCCACGCCGTTGAGACCCCTACTTCTTCCCAAATTTTGCCAGCCGCTGGCCTGTCCATTCCGACTATGGTGGCAATGTCCACTGAGCAGGAAAAGATCTGGTTCATGTTGCAATCCGTGGATGATCCCGCCATGTACAACTGTACAATCCAGTATGAGCTTCATGGCCAACTGGACCGGGTCCGCTTCCAAGTAGCAGTCACCGAGGTCGCGCAGAGGCACGAGTCGCTGCGAACCGCCTATGTCACTGATCTCCACGATCAAGTTCCCCGGCGCCTGATTTTGGGCCAGCCCCAGATTACATGGAGGGAGGTCGATATGAAGAGTGATGATAAGGACCTGATTGCAACAGAGTTCAAAGCCCTGCAAACCCGAGCGTTCGACCTCGCTAAGGGCCAGACCATGGCAATCACTATCCTCAGCCACGGATCTGCACGCCATGCCATCATCTTTGGCTATCACCATCTTATAATGGACGGCGTGAGCTGGCAAATGGTGCTCCGCGAGTTTGCTGCCGCCTACCAGGATCGTCAGAGTCTGTCGCCAGTGGTCGCTCAATACAGCGCGTTCTGCAACCAGGAGGATTCGACCAGCGAAGCTACTACACCTGCATGGAATAAAGGGCCATCTTCAACAGACACAGATGGTCAATTGCCCGACGATCTACCCTTATTCCCATTTGCTCGAACAGGATTCCGTACCCGAACGCGCACGAGCTATGAGACCATCCGCGTCAGCTCGTACCTAGGCAAAGACGACGCTAGTCGAGTGCGCTCCATCAGTTCCCGCACCGGTGCTACTTCCTTCCACATCCACCTAGCTGCCATTCAGCTCCTCCTTCAACAGACCCTCGAGGTAGACCGATTCTATCTCGGAATTGCCCACGCTAATCGCAATGATCCGCGCTTTGAACGGGTCGTTGGGTTAATGGTGGAGGTCGTGCCGCTGATGTTCGAACCACAACAGGCGCAAGGGTTCAAAGACCTAGTCAAGGATACCCGGTCTCGCGTGCTGGGAGCATTGAGCCAGGCTCACGGTAGTGGAAAATCATCCCGTCCCTGTGATATTGTCGTCAACTACATCGCTGGTGTCACGCACGACATCATGTTTGATGAGGCCGTGTTGAAGTACGCGACATCTGAGGATGCTCGTCAGCCGCATGACTTGGTCATCACCGTCCGAGACAACCCTGACGGCACGACGGTCATTACCTTCGGGGCTCTTGAGTACCTGTACCACGCGCATGATGTTCGGCTCCTGTTGGACCTCTATGTGCGACTACTAGGTTCCGTGTCCCTGAACTCGGACCTCAAATTAGAGCAGTACCGATGCCTGGAGCCGTTGTGTCTGAAGGCCCCGAGTCAGCCGCCCACGAGCCAGGCGGAGTTGAGCGCCATCCAGAAAGAGCCTGATCGGCTTACCCAGTGGATTGCCAGAATCGCAGCAACTTATCCGGACACAGTCGCACTGAAGGATACTAACGGGAGAGAACTCACCTACGCTGGAATGGAGAGCAGAGTGCGCTCCATTATGGACATTTTCCTCGCAGTCGGAGTTCAACCTCGAGCATTCGTGGTGGTAGCCTGCGGGCCGTCCGTCGACACCGTCTGCGCCCTGTTGGCTATCTGGCGGCTTGGGGCAGTCTATGTTCCTGCAGACCTCGAGCATGGTGTCGAGCGGCTGTCCCTCATCCTGAAAGACTGTAGTCCCGCAGCTCTACTGTGCCGCTCGAAAGCGGGGCTGGAGCATTTCATGGCCGATCACGGGCCCCAAGTTGTGGAACTCAAGATGCATTTGCCGCCTCCATCTCCTACCACGCTGGACTACGATCGATCTACCGGGCAGGACCCGGCCATCTTGATCTATACTAGCGGAACAACCGGGGTGCCCAAGGGAGTCTTGCTCAGCCACGATAATTTATTGTGCCATTTTGCAGCAGTGCAACAAGTATTCCCCGTTGATCAGCCGGTCGTCTTGCAGCAGAGCTCGCACAACTTCGATGCATCCTTGTTCCAGGTCTGCGTTAGTCTGCTACACGGAGGCACCCTTGTCATGACCAGCAATCGTCAGGATCCGATAGAGCTTGCCGAGTTGATGGTACGTGAGAAGGTCAGTCTTACTCTTGGCGTCACGTCCGAGTATGCCCTGTGGCTTGGTGAAGCTGCCTCCGTGCTCAGAAAGTGCACATCTTGGCAGTATGCCTTATGTGGTGGGGAGAAAATGAGTTCTGGCACACTTCAAGGCTTCTCGGGACTCGATATCGCTGGGTTGAGACTCATCAACGCGTATGGACCTTGCGAGACATCTGTCGCCTGCACGATGGGAGAAATTGACTACAAGAGAAATGATCTTTATGGCAGTCACGATCCAATCCCAGTTGGGCAAACGCTGCCAACTTATGCGATCCACATCTTGGACAATCAGATGCAGCCGGTAGCCGCTGGATGGCCAGGCGAGATTTGTATCAGCGGGGGCGCCGTGTCATCATCTGGTTATTGGAATCGTGAAGACGAGACTTCTGCCCGTTTCCGCGTCTTCAACGGCATCCGAATCTATCGGACTGGAGATTACGGCCGCATCCTACCGAACGGTGACCTAGAGTACCGCGGGCGACTGAAAGGGGACTCCCAAATTAAGTTGCGAGGAATGCGTCTGGAACTTGAGGAAATTTCCAGTGTGCTTGTCCAGGCGTCCCAGGGTGTTCTACGCGAGGCTGCGGTTATCGTCAAGGGCCATCCTGAGCCATACCTCGTAGCATTTGTGGTCTTCTCCACCTCTGAGTCTCCAGCCAGTGTTGGCTCTTTCCTCAATACGCTGCGTAGTGGCCTTCCACTTCCCGCATACGCCAAACCTACAGTTATCACGGCTATCGACCGCATCCCGCTGACCACCAGCGGCAAGGTTGATCGTACAGCCCTGGCTAGACTCGAGATCCATCAACAGCAAAGCGTATCGCCTACTTCCGGAGCGCTAAACATTATTGAAATGAAATTGAAAGAATTATGGCAGGAACTTCTCCCAGCGACGGGGCTTCCCATCACACCGCAGTCGAACTTCTTCGACCTGGGAGGCAACTCGCTGCAGATCCTAAGGCTACAGGGACGTATTCGAGCAATCACGAAGGTCAGCGTACCCGTGGTGCATCTCTTCCAATGCTCAACCCTGAATGAGATGGCCCAGTTGATTGGAGCGGCCACAAGCGCGCACCGAGCATCAGCCCCGACTCCACCAGCCCCAGCACTTTCCATCACCATTGACTGGGAGGCCGAAACCGCCATTCCCAGCTCCTTTGACAACCTCATCACCATCCTAGATCCTCACATTCACCAACCATCCAATCCACCCCGAGAGGTCATACTCACCGGTGCAACGGGCTTCTACGGCACTGCTCTTCTTACTCACCTCCTCTCATTACCCTCCATAACCCGCATCCACTGCCTAGCAATCCGCCCCAACGCAGACGGATCCCCCCGACGGCTTGAGCACCTTACATCCCCCAAAGTCCATCTCTACAGCGGCGACCTCTCCCATCCGACTCTCGGCCTCAAAGAAGCCGAAATCACTCACCTCTCCTCCACTGTCGACTGCATCATCCACAACGGTGCCGACGTATCATTCCTGAAGCCGTACTCTGCGCTGCGTGCCGCGAACGTCGAGTCCACGAAATTTCTCTTCAGCCTATGCACATCCCGCGGCATCCCCTTCCACTATATTTCCACCGCCAGTGTCACATCCTTATCTGGGAAAGACGAGTTCCTTGAGTCCTCGGTAGCCAGTTATTCCCCACCCATGGACGGATCACCTAGTGGACATACGGTGGGCTACACGGCTAGTAAATGGGCCAGCGAGGTATTTCTTGAGAAGGCTAGTACGAGGTACACTAATGTACCGGTGTGTATCCATCGTCCTACGGCGATAACTGGAGACAAAGACATGGCCATCGCAGCGACGAGTGGCGGTGTTATTGAATCTGTGTTAGATCTGAGTAAACGGATGAGAGCTATCCCTGAGACTGGGTCCTGGAGGGGATATATTGATTTGATCGGGGTGAAGAAAGCGGCTGAGATGGTGGTGAGGAAGGTTGTTGGTGGTGATGATACTAGTGGGGTTGAAGTACAATATTCGCATGTTTGTGGGGAGAAGCGGTTCAAAGCGAGTGATTTGAGGATGTTCTTGGAGAAAGAGGAAGGGGTAGAATTCCAACAGCTGGGATGGAAAGAGTGGTTGGATATGGCAGCTGAGTATGGGATTGATGATGGGGTTGCTGCTTATTTGGAGGGTTTAAAGGGAGATAATGGTGGCTCTAGGGACTTGTTCTTTTTGCCGTTACTGGGAGGTGGATTGAGTGGTTATTAGGGGTTTGCCTTGTAGATAGCATGTTAATTTCCCCCATATTTTTCTAGGTTTTTTTCTGGTTGATTATTGATACTCTTTGCAGGAGCCACGATTTCAGTTGAATAGTCTAAGTCATTATTTTTTGGCAGTAATATTGGTTCCCCTATGGTTGCCTGGTTTGAGTGCTTGTTATGGGTAGCTTTCGTTATATATAACGGCGCCCTGATGATTGTTACCGCTCAAGTACCAAGGCGAGATCAATTCTGACCCAACGTAGCGTGAGTACTAGTTTGTAGTGTAGCCGGAAACTGTGGAGTATATCAGTGAGCGCAAAAAAAAGACAAAATCAGAATGTCATTGTAGCTGAGAGAAAAGGAAATTATCTCGAAAAGGAATTTCCATCGTGGAAATTAGTGTTATTGTTTACCGCGGAAAAAGAAAAATAAAAGAAGAAACTCCGATGCGGGGAATCGAACCCCGAGCTGCCGTGTGAAAGACGGCGATGTTAGCCGTTACACCACATCGGACTTGTTATGTGGGTCAAGCGGTTTAGTAGCATTATACTCTAAGATTACTAATTGATGTAAACAAGTTCGCTTGGGGGAGGGAAGACAACTGATAGATGTCGCTTTTGTTTTCTATTTAAATGTGTCGCTTGTTCTTCTGACTGTTGGCAAAGAAGTCTGTTTGTATGTAGTAAGTTTGGTTTGCCAATGCTGAGTAGAGGCATAACTGGTGGATTGTGATGATGCTGAAATGCAGATTCTTGAGAGACACCATGTCTGGGGAGTAAATACACAGAATAGAACATCCAAATGAGACGAATGGTACTACCAGCCCCATAATGACCCGCCCTCATTCTCATTATGCTCTCTCATCTTGAGTGTTACCTCCCACGTTCTGCCACACTTATCTTTCAAATTCCATTGCGCGTTGGTAAGGCCCTGCGACTGATCCGAGTCAATCAATTTCCTGACCAGACGTCCCTGATTCTTTTGGGAGTGCAAGAAGTCAAAATCTCCCCTGCTCGATGCTCGCTCGGCGGCACGTTTGAATGTATTCTCCACTTCCTGTGCAAGGTGGGCTGACGAGTTATAGATGACCCTCATTGTCTCTGACACTTGCATCGCGAATGAATTTGCTATGGCCTCGAGCCCTTCCATCCCTCCTGATATCCGCTCGAGTAGATCGGCCCTTTCGAGATGGGTAGATTTTGAGCTGTCGGATTCTGCGATCTCGGATTCTGCGAGAGGCATTACTACGTTACTCTCCAAGCGGAGGACATGATCAAGCTCAGTGGTGATGAATATGTCAAAGGCTTCGTCGTCGTAGGTACCGTCGTCCGCGTGATTGGTTATGTCAACCGTGCGGAAGAAAGCATGGGCAATAGGGACCATAACATGGCTTCTATCCTGCGCAGGGAGATTGTATAGGTAATTGGTCTCAAACCCTTCATTTGCAAATACTGTAGATTCCACGGTACCGGGTATAGCCTTTACGGATCTGCCGACGACATTGTTAAGACCATGGAGGTTCAAGCAGCCGTTCATGTTCTCGATGACTCCGAGGATGGATCCAGTGCAGTCGTCATTCTCGTACACTATAACTGAATGTCGGTCATCGTAGACATTGTCAACCTTCACTAGTATTGACTTTGCATCAGTAGCATTGAGTTTGCTGCACGCAGTAGCTCCTGCAAGCCGATGGAATCCAGCTTCAGCTTTTGTACAGCGATTGCCTGTGTACTCAGTTAGACGGTACCCGGTAGTTGTAGCAACGAGGACCAAGAGAACCAGCAAATGAAGCATGTTGACGGAACGAACGGGAGAAGACAAGAGTGATGAATTAAGCATGGATGTGTAGGACATTCTGGGAACAGTCCCTTTCTCACGGCGACCAACTTGGAGGTAGAGACCCGTCAACGCTGAATCTATGTATGACATCGCCCAGTCAATTTATACCTCCGTGCCTGGCGGCCGTGGAGTCCCGCCCTACAAAAATCCCCTAAAGCTTAGTGCCAAATGCACTTGCGGGATGTTCCGTTCTTCCAGCAGAGGAAATGATATTCCTCGGTGTTCTCCAAGTCTCAACCTTATTAAGGCGGTCCTATCCGAATACTTCTCTCAATCCTTACTCACACAATAAGCCTCGCTCGGCATCCTTGCCTGTCCTTGTTCAGGTGAGCGTTCAGATCTCAAGGATTACTTGCCGACAAAGAACTAGTGCATGTTCCAGACCAAGTAAAGTGGTATCAGCAGAAATCAAGAGAGCGTTCCAACTGGTACCGCCGCTTAAAGTAAGTTGCAGAACCAAGAATCTGCAAAATTTAGAGACCAAGAAAGAACTGGCGTGGCCGGGATTCCAGAAGCGGAAGGACCGAGACCAGCCCTTGAAGGGTAACAGTGTCCAACTGCCCGACCGCATTTACTTCACTTGGAACAGGGGAATTAAAGAATCATGACTGTTTCACCTAGAACGACTCTGATGCTGTGTAGCCCAAGGTAACCTTTGGGAATCACAATGCCTCTTTGGTTGACAGTTAGTAGGGTATCCCTAAGACTCCTGTAAGCGGGTATTTTTGGATCTGGTGCTTTCAAGCAGGTCGGATATGGTGGCCATGAGACTTTTGGATTGCTTCTGCCCTAGTATCCCTCGTCCCAAAACTGTCATTTTACCTGTAGTATATTCATCATATTGTGCATGTCATCTAGATTCTATGGCCGGTACATCATTGCGAGTTGTGTTACTAGTATTTAGGATATTTGCATGAGCTCGTACATTCTGTGTTACTACCAACTTTGACTGAGACCTAGCTGAACCATTATATACTCCAGACCCTTTAATAGCCTACCATGGTCTTATAACATTACTTTGTCAAATGACGCCACAAGTAAAACATCGAACCACACCCATCCGAGTTCATCCTGCCTACCGGCATTGGCATCTTACAGACCCTCCCCCCATGCGAATGGATTGGTATAATAATGCCCAATATAGTTGTTAATCATGTCCCAACCCGCAAACGCCAAGGCGCCCGTAACAGGAGTTATGCGCGCCTCATCACGAACCCAGTTTGCGAGACCTTCCCGTGCCCAGAGAGGGTAGAAAGCGTTCAATAGACCGTCAACTATTATTGCACGGGCAGTGATGAAGCCCAGCATTACAATGGCTTGGGACTCGATGGGAAGGCGAAGCGACAATTGATAATGCAAAACACTAACCAGGTAAGTCAATTGTTGGGATGGTGAAAAACGACCATGGTCGTGAAAGACGAATCGATCGATGAGTGTTTCTTGAGGAGATCTGCGCAGTTTCGAGATAATGAATCTGAGAAGCGCTGTTGCTATCCCATATTGGTCTGCATGGTGGTTTGATACGGGCTTGCTGGCTTTATTAAAGCTCGCCTCTATGGAGGAGCCTGAAGAAGCAAGAAGTTTATCCAGGAGGGAGCGATCGGATACGTAAAGGTAGCGGGAGTCTGGGTCCGAGTTTGTGGGACGCACTGCTGTTTCTCTATCGAAGGCGGTTTTGGCGTCTGGGTGATCTGTTAATGAGGTATAGAACCGTGGAGTCAAGGTCTCAATTTTCAGGATGGGTCTAGGGTGGGATGTGGGAGGATTAGGAGAGTAGAACGTATGGCGATCGAAGTTTATCGATCTTGGGGGTATGTACTCAATGCACAATGGAAATGTGCAATGAGCCGCGAGTTGAGACAGGTATTCTCGAAAGAATAATTCCAATGATCTGCCACATGTGGAAGGCTTTAGAAACATATACGCAGAATAGAGGGAGATTCTGGCTGACCTCTCAACATTAGTTTCCTTTCGTGGATTTGTCCCAGGGTGGACCTCAGGTCTCTGTAAATATCTCAGATTGCCACGAAAGCGGACCCGCAAAGCTTCCTTGACAATCCGAGGCGCAGACAATGCTCCAACATGCGTCCAACGAGTAATGAAGCGAGCAATATCCCAACCACTAGTCGTCAATGGGTCGACGGGATCACCCCAAGAGGCGAGACGACTTGTGACTTTCACCTGCCCATCTGGGTTGTTGGAGCTCAAGGTGGACTGGAGAGATGGCCCTCGGAGAATGTCCACAGTCTTTGCAAGCATATATCCTCCAACCTTTTCGAAAGGAGAACCAAAAATTACCTTATCCCAATACCCTTTGTAGTACTTTCTCTTCGAAGCAGGGGAGAGAGAGCAGAGAGATACCGGTTCGCCGGTCTCCTTGGCCGAGGCTATAATCGTCAATGGAGGATGTGGCGTCTCATCAACAGACATGCCATCTTCAGTCAAGCGGAAAAAAATGTTCCTCTTCTCGTAAAAAGAGTTGTTGATCTCCATAATCATTGCAGTCAACACTCTCGTTGGTGTATAGAGGTACCAGTAACTGATTGCACTTTTCTGCCACCATAAAAATCGCGGGACGCTGACCATGTAAGCGTATGGAAATTCCTGAGGGTTCTCGCCCTGAGAAAGTTAGTTTTGAGATCCAAAAAAGGTGCTGGAAGGACTAAAATGGTACTAGATTATGCAGGAAGATATGTAACTTCTCTTCAAGTGTTCGGTCACCACTCCCAGGTTCAAGATAGTAAGCCGGGTCGATTGTAAACCAGCATTTCTCCAGAATGCTCTCCGACGTAGGCTGATTGTCAATAGAGATGAGATTTCCAATCCGACCGCGAAACCCCACTGGAATACCTATCATGAAGTAGTCATACCAGTAGTTGTATCGTTCAGTTGCAGGAAATCTGCGTGCATGAGACAGCTTGGCTGGAAACAGAAGAGGCCTGCCTAGGAAATCTGGTCTCACATGAAGGTTGTGCACAATCAAGCGCTGTGTCCATAAGGCGGCAATAACCAGTCTAACCAATATGAATAGAATGCTAGACACCGCGAGGAAGATTAACAGGCCTAAGATTCCTCGCAATCCAGCGTCTGTCATCTTCAACATCAGATGCGCTGCAACGAACACCAAGTACACAAAATTCTTGAAAAGCATGATGCCAGAAAAGCTACCGATGAGATCTTGATTGAAAAGATTGTGATAGTCACAAGGGTCCTGATGATAACTTGGTATAAACGCCGGATGTACTTAAACCCCTCCCCTCAAAGCCACCTATAGATCACGAAACTGAATCATTTTACCAGCCTTAGCCCGCCTCCTGACTTCCAGAAACATCAATATGCATACAATGTCCAAAAAGAAAGTCGGAAGTTTTGCAGTCGAGAATGTCACTGCCTCGCAGCTGGCATATTCATGTCATTCGGCTGGCAGAAGGGTGAAGTAGTACCGCTACTGGGCAGTCGGCAATGATTCGTCTCATCCCATTTGCTACTGGGGTATGACAGCTGCATCCACCTAACAAGGAATGTACGCACGACGGCAACTCCGAACGTGTGGATGGGTAAGCAATTTCCACATTCATGGCTGCAAAGATGTATCTCCGAGGAGGTTGGATAGTTCAGTATGGCCAGAAATGCCATTCCTCTCCGATGAAGGGGGCTGCAAAACATCTCATTGTCAATACGAAATGAGCGATCAGTAACTGTGAGCAGCTGGAGTCATTGTACTAATATCAAAAACTAAGGTCAGTAGAGAAGTCCAAAATGGTGAGGGAGATATCCTACCTCGTACCTATTTTGGCTGTTTGCGAATCTCGACTAGCTCATATCAACCACAGTGCCTTACGCAGAACCTTGCGTGCTGATGCAATATTACTTTACGGTTATTTCACAAGAGATCCATGAAAGCGACTGAACATTACGGATGACGAAAAGCACGTGCTACGGACATCGATCTCGAATGTCCAAAGTAGCTGGCATATGATGGGAAATATGAAATATGTAGGGTGTCGGGGCAATGCACACAGCGTAAACAGAGTGCATCACGCAGCCCACTGATTCATGACACATTATTGACAGGCGTGGTGATATAGACTGAAACAAAGCCCTGTCAAAACACGCGGATTCATAAAAGGAAAGTCCTTGCGAATCGGCCCTATGCAGTCAGCATCTGGGCTCCGCGGAGGATGAAAGCCCCGACGCGACGGCATAGTATCCGAGTATGTACTTCGGTATTTGCCGAAGACGTAAACCCTTGGTGCGTGCTGAGTCGAAAAGAGTAGAGTATGATTTGTGGATGGAGTCAACAGAGTGGATTGGTCTCACCCCACTGAGCTTATTCTGGTGGCAACAACGACTTTGATCTCCACTGGTAGATCATTAACCAAGAAGTCACAAATCAAAATTTACACTCGGGTTGACAGCTGTCCAAGCCATTACAATAACAACTTGGTTGATAATGTGCACAAGATTTCGACCGGACACTCCGTCCTGATGGTGTCCCTTGCTTGGCATTGGTCCTATCAACAGCACGCACCCAATCTGTGTCACCGGAATATCTTCCCCCTCAATCACAACCGCAACTCTGATACATGAGTTTATAATTGGCAGATGACGTGGGGATGGACCCATAGTCAATATATTGTTGTCTCCTTACGGAATAGTGTCATCGGGATGATGTGTAGTGGAGCGAGGGAGCGTCTGTGCCGATCTACTTGATGCCCGCAGCAGAGCCCGATCGTGGGTTAGGATGGAGGCTGCATCGGAGATATGGTCTTGTCGCTTCAGCTGCCCCGCCATGCTAAAAATCTTCGATCAAAAGTAAAGCATTTCTGATTCACGATCGATATGTGGAAGTAACTGAATGGGGTAAGAGTGGGTGTAGATCAATAGTGCTTGGACACCGTCTTACACACCATCCACTGTTCGTGCCCTTGTCGACATCTTACAGATAAGACATTATTCTAATCAATTTATCATAAGGTATCAGTTTCGTAAATGGTACCTGAGTGGACAAACGAATTAACTTCAACTATCACGTTTTGGGGGCCAACTGCGGTGTGATGTCGTGGCGCGCTAAGCAGTGGTCCCAGCCAGCCCAACTTGATGGGCCAGCTGTAAGCAATAAGATAGTAGATACGGCTCCAAGAAACTTCGAGTTATTCCCAAAGAAGAAGGCGTATTGCGAACAGTGATGAGCGGTGTTGTGCAGTTGCTGAGATAATCTTATAATTCTCCTATATAGATCAATGTTTGACTGCCAGTACCACCATGATTCCATAGAGCCAAATCCCCAAAGGCTTTGATGTACCATACCTCCCGTAATCTTCTTCTAGAAAGGTCCCAAGCCCTAAACCCGCTCAACTGGTCCTTTCTTACCCCTTCAGCAGAGGAAGATTCTCCTTACCATGGCTTCCAGTGCCTTTCGTTCTTCCCCCAAGGCCATCATTATCGGGGCTGGCTTTTCCGGTATGGCGATGGCATGCCAACTTAAACGAGAGTTAAAGTGCGATGACTTTGTTATTTATGACCGAGAAGCTGGATTTGGTGGGACGTGGCTAGCAAACAAATGTACTATCAAATATACGCTCGTTTTTTACCAGCCGAAAACGCGGTCGCTGACATGAGCTTCTCAGACCCAGGGTGTGGAGTTGATATCCCAGCCGCGTTCTACAGCCTCTCCTTTGCGCCCAACCCAAATTTCTCGAACTTCGTTCCGAAGCGCGATGAGGTTCTGCAATACATCAACAATGTTGTATTAGAGTACGAGCTGTCCCGTCACCTGGTGGGAAGTACAGAATGGGTAGGGGCATCCTGGCAGGAAGACGACAAGACCTGGATGGTCAGGTTGAGGAGTACTACTACTGGACAGGAATATGCACAACGGTGTAACGTGTTGATATCAGCAGTTGGGGCACTGATAAATCCGAATTCGCTGAATATTCCCGGCATCGATCGCTTCCAGGGAGATATTATTCACACAGCCAGGTGGGATCAAAACGTGTCTCTGCGGGATAAGAATGTAATCGTGCTTGGGAATGGCGGTAAGCTTCCTTTCTATTTGTGATTGTAGATTGCTCAACTGACCCTGTCCAGCCTCAGCAACACAGCTAGTACCAGCCGTAGCAGAAGATGTTCGGTCAATCACTCAATTTATGAGGGTTAGTTCCCTATTTCTATACCCTTGTAGGGTGACTTCGCTAATATATGATGCAAATTTAGTCAAAACAATATTTCCTCCCAGGAGGGTGTAACACCACCATTAGCCCTTTCTGGCAGACTATATTCCGCTACGTACCCGGTGTGCTTCTCGCTGTCAGATTTCTAATCTTTCTATACCTCGAAACATCGACACCCCAGTTCAACCTAACCAAAACTGGGGCGAAGATGCGAAGAGAAACTGCCGAATTAAGCGAGCGTTACATCAAAGAAAACGCACCAGGTGAGCCGAGTCCTGAAAGCTGTCTGAGCTATCCTGACCCAAACTTGAAGAAAAGTACTGGCCACTCCTACTGGCCGACTATCAAGTCGGTTGCAAGGTACGTACCTCGAGTAACTACGTACTACATGGCATCCAGACTGATGATACTCCTATACAGCGAAGGGTATTCGACCACGACGGCTACATCTCAACATTAAACCGAGATAATGTCCGCCTTACCGACGATGAGGTCATCGCTCTTAACGAACGCTCAGTATCAACCAAGGCAGGAGCAACATACCCTGCAGATGTTATCATGTTAGCCAACGGATTCTCTCTAACCCAATATGACACCGAGCTGTGCGGTCGCCATGGTCGCAGTCGACAAGAATATTGGAAGGAATCCGGGCACATCAAGGCTTACGAAAGTATCGGCATGTCTGAGTTCCCTAACTTCTTCTACATTTTGGGTCCCAATTCAGGTCGCGGACATACATCTGCAATTTTCTCAATAGAGAAGTAAGTCGTTCCTCCGGACCAAAGCTCTGGCCTACCAGAAATGGGAAATGGAGAGCAAAGCTTGCTAACCGTGAAACAGCTACACCGACCTCATCATCCGTATCATTAAACCGATAATAACCGGATCAGCTGTGTCTGTAGAACCCGATATGTCGAGCGAAAAGGCATACAACGAGCGGTTGCAGGCCGCGTTGAAAAACACAGTGTTTAACAACACATGCCGCAGTGTAAGGAACTCCTACCCCAACTGGTTGTCCATCGCTGTTGATTCCGCCACTCTCCCATTGCGTTTCCGAGCATTAGCTAATCATGATCTATGTAGTGGTTTATCGATCCTAAAACCGGATATAACTGGATGATATACCCCTGGAGCTCCTTCTACATGTGGTGGACGACGCATGTTGCAGGTCTAGACGGGTGGGTCTATGAGGTGAGTGTGCTGATCTTATCAGAGTTAAGCATATGGGTGTTTAACACAATGCGCATGCATAGTTTCCCCAGACAAAAAAGATGTCCCAGAACTCGGCATTTGCTCTGTGTCTGCGCACCGTACTACCCACCTTTGTTGTCTGTCTAATTGTGGGAGCGTATACCTATCTTAAGGATTCATGCGGTGTGTTCGTTATGTGAAATTACGCTTGTCTTTCTGTGGACCTTTGGGATGTACTGTTAAGCTATGTTTTCAATATATAGGGTTAGACCGTCTGAGAAGCGTTTTATTTTTAACTTTTACATCGACATTCTCCCATGTCAACGCTACTAAATAGTTATATAGAAAAAGGGCTGATTTCTCAAAATTTACTGAAAACCGCAGTACCGCTATGTATAAGCCATGTGTTGCTGCCTTGGACGGCTTATGCAAGGTTCGGGTCAGGTGGCCATGTAGCTGTATATGATTGGCGCCGTGTCTTACTACTTTCGTCGTTTTGCGTCTAACCTAGCAGAATGGACCCCCAAAAAAGAACGAGGAAAGTCTTTCGATATACTTATCCTCCCTAGGACAACTCAGCACTGATTAACTTTCTGCACATTTGTGAAGAACGAATGGTAAATACAGATTAGACAGGCTGGAAGAACTGATAAGCAGCATAAAGGGTCGTCTAATACAACACATAAACTACTCTTCAATGAGATATTACCTCCGAGCGAATATTTTTACGGACTATCTGGCAGTGTCCATGCGCTGTGGGGCTCTAGGATCCCCATTGCATGTACTC